CATAGATATAGTCCTAACGAGTTACTCTATTACTGTGAGTTGATCTTGTAGAATCGTGAGATAACTCAGCAATGTAATGTACCTGTTAAACCTTGTCCCTAGTCGATGGATTACGCCAATAATGAGGATACCGACCTTTCCCTTTTGAGACTAGCACTTAGTGTATGTATACTGCGTCTCATCAGTCCTCGATATTGTGACATCGGCATACTTGAGTGGGTGCTCATACTGGAAGAGTTCACTGAACTCCCTCGCTCTAGAAATCTATAAGTGGTTCTCATTCATCGAGTAATAGGTTTCTAAGATATAGTTGTACACCATTAGTCCTTAAGACCCAGACATCACCGTGACTTCACTAGAGGACCGATTTTATCGTGACCTGTCCCTGAGTCCCACAGGGGCCACTCCAAGGGCCAACGTTCGTGCAATCCGAAATCTAGTGTGAAGTCTGTGCATTGTAGTAGGGGATTCGAGCGCTTGAGTAGTCATGGATGTCCTGTGTGTTCTGACGGTTTATAATCCAAGGAACCTCTGGCAAGAGTTGATAGTAGGGTGATTAGGGAAATGTGTTTCCCTAAGTCACACACGAACGGATTTATAATACCTAGAACGTTCGCACGGTTATTGGACTTTATAAGAGGTCTCGGTGAACCAATGCCTCTAGTTCAATCGGGACATGTGCTGCGAAGGGATCGTACTGTACGCTAACTATATCATAAGGTTCTTGCAGGCACTTCACTTGTATCTAGGGAATCATGATGCGTAGTTGCTAGACGCCAATCTTGATTCGTTGGGCACCGATTTGATCGGCGATTAAGTAAAATGAGTTTTACTCTAATCGGGACTCTTGGGAGGAGTTCGTATAAGAACAATGTGTTGTTCGAATCACAAAGAGTTGTGAGCCCACGGCTAGCATACACCTGAACCATTGAGGGTCACACTTCTAGTGTAATACAGATCCTTGATAACAATGAGCATAGGTTAAAATGTTAATCTTTGCAAAGTTGGAGGTCAATATGATTGAGTCCAAGATTCGTGATTGTGGATTACGAGTCGGAATAAACGTACAGAAAGAGAGACATGCGGAATTCTTGCAGCCCCTAGGAGTGGTATAACGCAGCTTGTACGGGTTTGAGTTCGATTTCGATTCGTCGAAATCTCACGCTACAAGAGGTAATTAAATCGAAACTTTCGTAAATTTAATTTGAACATGTTTGTATGAATTTTAATATACGAGTATGTGCGATATGTGATTGCGTGTTTCGATTTTGTAATATGATGAACAAGCATGTTTTATATTTTTCGGTTTTACATGTTTTTAATAAAATCGATAATTACCATATGTATGGCGGAAGCGTTAAGGTACGTTGACTATGTGATTAGTTTATGCATGTAATCGAAACTAGTTCGATCTAAAATTTTTAAATTCCGCTGCGTATACATGCACGATCCCCAACATATCTATCGTGCCGTTCGATCCCATTGAATCTTTGAGGAAACTGCACATAGCATATTTTCTTTCCCCGAAGAAAAGGCCAATCATGAGATACATAGCTTCTCTCATAGCGTTGCTGTTGTTTATGTAGTGATGACAATCCACATTGAGAAGATAAGGAACATTCCACAGTACAGGTGAAACCCTATTAAAAAAAAACACATAGTTGAGGCTATTTTAGTCATTGTGGTTTTTTCAGTTCGCACTTTTTTATATTTGGGTCCATTAGATATAACCCCCTTAGACATTAAAAAAATAGGGGTAGACCCAAACATAAATTTGCCATTTGATAAACCCAACTTCGTACAGGTAGTAGCGACTTCCTCGGCGACAGCCTTTTTTT